CTGGTGGCATGTGCACAGATTTGCCTTGTCTCTTCTGAGGGCCCATGATAAATAACATGGGCATCCTGCTCTGTGTGCTCAGTCGTAACTTGTTGAATAAAGAAAGAAGAAATGATTGCCTGTGACCAAGGATTTTATTATGGAGTGAGGAGGTCAGCTGAAGCAAGACGAGGCATCTTTTTCATGTTGGATCTACCCTCTGGCTAGTCAATAGGCACATTTTTTCCCCCCTATCTCTTGCTCACTTTTTACAGGGTTGACCAATGGAGAGCTCAAACTTCTTTTACTCTCTCACCTTTCTGGTATGCATTGAAAAATCATGTTTCTAGCTTCTGCCACAAGAATGAGTCTGGTAAGAAATGCTGCCAGAAGTCCAACCACAGCTTACTAACAGGGAGTGTCCACCAGCAACTTAATGAGAAAACGGTAGAATCTACCCAGACCAGCAGAACTGAGGGGCTGCATCCGCTAGACCAGGCATTCCTAGTTCTGCAGAAGATCTCTCTATATAATAGGCTTTGCATGTAACCCCTGGAAAGCCGGCTGTTGGGGCTGAGATTGCCTAATCTAGCTGTGGTCTGGAGTGAGCAGACAGCCCAGGTTTGGGCCACTGAGACCTGGAATTCTCTATTACATTGATATAGAGTCTTCCTGCTCTAATATATTCAGGACGAACACAGAAATATTATATCGAGTGGTAAAGAAAAAAACTTGCTTTGCTAATGCATCAGCAGGTCTTATTAGTTCTAATCTTAAATTAAAAAACTTCTCATTGTACCTCCTATCACTGTCCTGCTCCAAGCTGCCTTCAGTTCTTTCCTGATACATTATGGTGCCCTCCTGGCTGATCTCCCGTTTCTTATCTGGCCTTGCTTCAATCTGGTCTCATGCCAGAAGCCAGAGTGATTCTGTTGGGAAATAGGAATGGTCATATTACCCTTCTGCCTACAATCTCCAGTAGACTTCTCGTCTCACTTTAATAGAATGAAAATATTCCAATTCTCCTTCTACCTTTGCAGCACTGTCCCCTAATCCTCTGTCCATACCACTTTCACCTGCTTCTATTCTGGCTACTCTGGCATCTTGCTCTAGGTTCTTGCCCAGCTGCTTCCTCTGTCTTGATTGCTTTTCTTGCAGTGCAACTCGTCAACACAGCTTCCTCCCTTCTCTCATGCTTATGCTCAAACTCCAGTTCCTAAGCAGCCCATACTCCATGACCTCATTGTCCATCTCTTTTCCCTGATTTACTTTTCTCCTTTTTGCTTCAACGATTTACATATTTTACTTATTGGTCTGTTTCCTCCATGACTGTAAAACGTGAGCTCCATGAAGGCAGGCATCTTTTGTTGACTCCTGTATCAACGAGTCTTGGAATAGAGAATGGCACATAGTAGGTACTCAAAAAGTATTTGTTGGATGAATGAATGGCAGCCATGCCTCAGAGAGTCACTCACTATGGCCAGGAGATTGGGGGAAAGCTTCACGATCTGTGGTGACTGTTTCTGTATTGCTGTATCACTTTTTGGACAGGTGCTTTAAGGAAATGGCATCCTTGATTTCTAGTTGATGTGAGATGCTCACTGTCAGAACTGTCACTACACTCATAGACCCAAGAAACCCTGGCCTCCAGAACTAAATTGCTTGGGAAAACACAGGAAAGATAGGTTCTATAAGGGTGAAGTAGATCCCTGTGACTATTGCCAATATTTTTCCAGCTTTCTCTCAGCTTCTATTAGTAGCTTTGTTCTAAACAAAGTGGGTTGAAACAGTAGAAATTTACTGTCTCATTGTCCTGGAGGCTAAAAGTCTAAAGTCAAGGCATTGACAGGGTCATGCACTTTCTGAAGGGAGAATTCTTTCCAATTCTCAAAACTCTTCTAGTTTCTGTTATTTGCTGGCAACCTTTGGCTAATAGAGGCATCCCTCCAGTTACATCTCTTCTAAGTGGAATAAACATCTTCTGGAAGCTCATAGGCTCTTATTTCATAGTTATAACATTAGAGGAGGACAGATAAAAGTTTTTCTATGGTCTCGGGTTGAAAGACTGAGGAGGAGGGGTGATAGTTGGCTTTGTTTGACTCAGGCATCCATCTCTGAACTAATTGGTTTCATTGATGGGGTGGAGCATGAGAAAAAATGGCTGTGGTTGGGTGGGTGAAGAGGAGAAAACAATAGATGTTGACTAATTAATCACTTTCTGAGTAAAATTTTACATTTAACCATATACTAATCCGGAAATATATGTATCAGGCATCATGCATTAAAATAATTTGTCTTTTAGGGCACTTCATATCACAACTCTGAGACAAGGTACTAAGCTTGCATTCTCAGTTGCTTGTGGCTGACATCACTGCTTCATTTTGTATTAGCCAACCTATTCAAATGGGCAGTTACTAACAGTAACAAGAACTAAGTTTTCTTGAAATCTCATAAGAGCAAGTGCTTAAACTTGTATAAAACTTGGTTAATCCTCAAAACTAGACTGAGAGACATATACTGTTAGCTTCCTTTTATAGAAGAGAAAACCTTTTATAGAAAACACAGACGTTAAATGACTTACAAGATTACACAGCCTGGAAGATGCAGAGTTGGGGTTTGAATCCAGCAGTCTAGCCATCAAGCTGTACTCTTACCTTCCTCACAAACCTACCCCTTAGGATCTTAGGATCTGAGAATTAAAACCTGGCCTACTCTAAGTTTCATGCTGAATAATACAGTCATTTATCTCTTTTTAGAGGGGTTTAGGGGGGATTGAACTCAGGGGCACATGACCACTGGGCCACATTCCCAGTTCTATTTTGTATTTTATTTAGAGACAGGGTTTCACTGAGTTACTTAGCACCTCACTTTTTGCTGAGGCTGGCTTTGAACTCTTTCTTGACCCTCCTGTCTCAGCCTCCTGAACTTCCAGGATTACCGGTGTGTGCCACAGCACCTGACCTCATTTATCTTTTAACATGAAACTCCTAGTAGTAACTGTGATGAAATATAAAGGCAGTTAATAAATACGTGGAACAGAGTATTAGGTAAGGGCAAGGAAGAAACTTCATAAGGAGGTCTCCCATTGATGACTAATCCATCATCTCTCAATAGACTACCCTGGCCATGTTAAAGACATTTCCCCCCTCCCTTTGAGGGCTGGATGACATAAGTGGCTTAAAATGAGGGTGTATGTAGTTTGAAAAACACTGTTCAATGCCAGAACACATTCAGCCTGCTCAACACTTGGAAGAGGCACTGTGGGACCAGAATGCCAGAAGAAACAGGAATTCACAGTTCCCAGCTTATATTTATGTTGGAGCATATGTCATGCCAAACATTTGTGGTGAATTGTGTAAGTGCAATACATTTCTACTGTATCATGCATGTGTGTGTTGTTGGCAACTGTAACTATAATAGGAGATACCACCATCTTTTGTATTTAAAAATAACAGCTTAGGGCTTGGAGATACATGAGTGCTTATTACAATGAAAGAAACTAAGTGCAAATGGATTTAAGGGCAATTTAATTTAGAGAACAGAAATTCAGTACAATATATGTAACCAGTCTGGACATGTTTAAAAAAGGTTAGATGCCACTTTATCACCTGTCAAATTGGCACATATTTTTTAAAATGACAAAATCATTTTTATGAGGATGAAATAGAATGGATATTCTTGTAAACTGATCATGGGAACATAAACTGGCATCAACTTAAACATTTGACATTTGGGTATGTGAGTGTGCATGTGTCTCAGAGTGGTTTTCAGCCTCTTATCCTGAAATTCCATTACTAAGAATTTATCCCAAGATTTGCATTCAAGAGAGTTCACTGCAGCCTGCTAACAGCAAGAAAATACAAATAGCTAAAATACATTCCATTTGCAAAGTTAAATATTATTTTTTCAATGTAGTCTGATGATCCAAGAAACACAATATAGTAATAAAAGACAATAAATTATTTTAGGTAGATGTCATATTGGAGTCATGTTTGTCTGTATCTGGAATTATAGGTGATTTTTATCTTCTGAATTTAAAAATTATATTTTTTGCTCCCTTAAGTTTTCAAATGGAAGAATAAAGTATATTTAAAATGTTTAAAGTATACAGATTTTAAATGTCCAGCACAAAAAACTATAAATATATATATATATATATATATATATATATATATATCCTGATGAAGTTTTGTGCATCATATAAATATGGAATGCAGACTGTATTGTGTCTGGCATAATTTGTACAACCTAATCTTCATGAGATTCAACTATTTTTGCATTGACTGCTCAGTAAGTTTTGCAATTATTATTATTTTGGGGGGTAGGAGTACTGGGGATTGAACCCAGAGGTGTGTAATCACTGACCTCCATCCCCAGCTGGCTTCATATTTTTATTTTGAGACAGAATCTCACTAAGTTGCTTAGGGCCTTGCTAAATTACTGAGGCTGGCCTTGAAACTGCAATTCTTCTGAGACTAGAAATGTGCATCACCATACCCAGTATAATTTTTTTCATCTTTCTTGCTCTGATATGTTTCATTGTATGAATATACCCCTATGCATTTATCCATATTCCTGCTAACAGAAATTCTTATACATACCTTCAGATCAACAAATGCCCTTATTTCCCTGTAACACAGCTAGGAAAAGTATTACTAGGTTGTAGAGTTGGTGTGTATATTTGACTTAGATGTTTCCACTTTTCTTTAGCTAGTCTAGCTTCCTTTATCAGGAGAGTGATCACCACCCTAAGCCAATCTCTTACTTTCATATTATTTGTTTATCATGACTCACTGAAGAATATCTGGACCAATCTTCACCTTTTGGTGCTTTTCTCCAAAAACTTGTCACAGCAACACACTCCACCAAAATCACACTCATGAATTTCTGTTCATTTTCTGCTTCTCTATTCTGAGAATCCAGTGCAGAAATGACTCCAATAACTTCAGATTTACTTTTGTTTGGCATTAATTCATTTACTTTAGAATACAAATCTATTGGAAAAAAACTCGAGAGTCTTGTCTCTTAAAAAACTTTTATTAGGTGTTGCTAGATGACTTTGCACGATGTATCGCACACATCCTGCAGTAAACGGCACTCACAGTAATCCACACGACAGCTCATACAGTGACAGTCACAGCTGATTCCCCTTATAGTTTTCATCCATGTAGAGTGAGCATCATTAGATTTTTCCATGAGATCTGATCTCAGACTCAAGATTACCCTCCCATCTTAAAATAACCAACCAAAAATAATTAAAAAAAAAAACAACAAAAAACAAATAAAAGCCCAGCCACAACAAAAGGCTATAGGGAAATTACCAAAAGTCTATAATTAGACTCTACAAGAATATCACAAGGTATTCATCTTTTAAAGATGTGTCCCTAAAATTTATGTGATCTGACACTTGGGTTGCTTTTACCACCAGCAGCAAGTGAGATAGTACTTCTATAGAAGGAGCAGTACACTGACACATATCCACTGAAAATTCTTGAGGTAATAGATTTTTAAATTTCACTGCTTAAAAAAAAAAAATCTGCTAATTTCCAGGTCCTGTCCAGCAGGACCTATCTGTTGGATAGGAAGATTCTTTTCTATTTTTTTCTTTGTCAAATATTTACACATATTTGCATATACAACCTGTGTCTTTGTCTTTTCTAAACACATGGTTTATTTTATTCATTCATCATACATTCATCAGGAAAAGCTGAATTACATACTATGGTACATAAAGAATACAACAAAACCAGCATTTTGTATAAAGCAAAACAAAAGACATAGACCAAGAAGAGCAAAATAATATATTAAACATAATAGCTTGATGTCGATAAAGCCCACAGTGAATGAACAGCAACATGAATTTGTGAGTCTCATGGTTATCCAACATCTGTATGGAAATTTATTACTAATAAAATATCTCCGAAGACATGTTGTAGAGAAATGATCAAATTCCTGAAGTAGCATATACTTTGTTTTATTTTTAATGCTTTTGTCCTAGTTTGAGCTATAGATTTACCTGACAGTCATTCCAATTCCTGTTTTAAACTTAATTAGTATTCTTTTTTGTGGTTTAAAATACACTTCAAGTTTAATGGCTTGAATTTCTGGTACTTAATATTCATTTCATACTTTCTTTTAAAAATGAACAATAAGTTTAAGAAAAATGCACTGGCTAATTTGCTGTTCTAGAGGTAATACAGTAGATTATGGTAGCAAATACAGGCTATATACATCCCTAAAGAGATACTATCTCATTAGCACTTTTTAAATAAAGGGACAAAAGAACACTCACAAAAAATAGATATGGCTCTTTAGATAAGAAATAAAGTCAAGTGAAAAAAATAAGGCACTAATAACATATATAAATGTTATATACCCATCACACAAAGCACCATATGGAAGGTTAAAGGGACTATACATTAGTGCTATTGAAAAAAGGGAATAAGCCCAATTTCCCTGGCTTTTCTTCACCCAGTTTCCTCCTTTCTTTTCTGTAATCGGTGTAGACACACTAAGGTGGTGAGAAAATTATATACTATGCAAAATTAATGGAACAGCACAAAATAATCATTTGGAAATAAAAAGTTGATTGCTCTAGCAACGTAAGAAATTTTTCCTTTTAAATTATCCTTATTTTCCAATATTTTTAGCTCAGTAAAATTTGTTTTCTCCTTTCTAATTTCTTTTCAAGGATTTCTGATAAGAATATTGTCCATTTGCTTATTTTATTTTTACCTGTCTTTTTCCTAAAATACATTAAAAATTTTTTTCCAAATAGTTTTATGAATACCAAACTTAGTAATATAACTAATGAAAATCAGAAACAGTTAATATTAAAGAAACATTGTTTTTCAATCAGGCTCATTTTAAACATAAAAATATTATGATATATTTTCAGAAAATGACTACAAATTTTAAAGAAAACTTTAAGCAATATAATAAAATGGATAAAATCTGGTACAAGCTACTACTGGAAGTCACTCACCTTAAATTTAAAAAATTTGATACTGTTAATAAGAATATAACTAAAATGAAATATATTCTGATATTTAAATAGGAGATGCAAATTAGTTTTTAGAACTTCAATTTCTGAATATACAGGAATAACAAATTAAAAACCCCAATGTTTCTTTTTAGCATTTTATACTCTTCATGAAAAAAGGAAAATGTGAATTATTTACTTGTCCTACAGTTTTGCTATACATCTATATTAATAGATATGAGTATATTTGTTTCATAAAAATGTTTAAAATATAAACAAAACAATTAATTCTCATGGCTTCTTAATAAATAATATTAACATAGTCACATTTTAATGCTGCAGTTTTTGTGTTTCTTATACACAAAATTATTTCTGTGGCCTTATGAAGTTGAATTATTATTATATGTTCATAACTGTTTTCTGAAGCAATAAGATTGTCAATTAAATTTCACATTAAAAACCTGTAACAGATTGTCCTTAATAAGGTAAATGGTAATATATATAAACCAATTACTGTTCTAAGTTTCATATGAAGTATAATTTGGTCTATTTTAAAAAATAATATCTGTAGATTAATTGTGATGAACATGATCAAATAATAAAAGTAAGCTATTGAGGGGAATTTTAAAAAATGGAATATGGAATTTCAAAAAGAGGGGTCTTTAGAAAATAGTCAGCTGATAAAAAATCATGATACTTGATCAAAAATTTCTTTAGAAAGAAAGATAAAGCATGCTAATTTATATATTGAAAAATTTAGATTGTTTATGTCAGATATTTAGATACTATTTCCTTCAAATAAACAAAATATAATTGAATATAGAGGAAGTAAGACGTTAACAAATAGCAGTTTTTAAAAAATACTTGACTGGATTATTTTGAGAATATTTCCCTAGCTGGGGCATGACAGGAAGATCTCCCAAATTTGAAGAGAACTGATGACCGAGAGAACACATGCCAGCTACAAGGAAGAACATAAAGTGACATTATTTCCATAATTTCTGGGGCCATTTACAACTAACTTTGATGCTCCCTTGAATTTTTTTTTGTTATGTACTAAACCTATATGAAATACAGTTTGAGTGTGGCTTATGTCTATGAAAAAGTTGAACATTTGCAATGACAAATGGTTTCTAAACCATTCATTTAAGGTCATCTATTTTGGAGTATCAAAAATCTAATTATGTTCACAGTATGAATCAATGTTTGACTCTTACAGACAAATGCTGCACTATATAAATTCCCCACAAGTCCAAGATGGAGGCCCTCTGGTTGAAACAAGGACCAATGGCCATAACTGGAACCATAACCTATTTTGGATGAAGAATAAATGACTTGGGTTCAGGTTGGATGAATGTCTACACAAACTTTCTAGCCAACTGATGTGCAAAGACAATGCTGATCTTAGGATAATGTAAAGCAATTTTTGAGGCTTTTTTCTAGAGTATTATTAAGCTTTCTGGTCCAACTAATATCTTCTCATTTGTTTGATTTACTTTTTGGCAGAGAGCTAGGTGGAAGTTCTTCAACTTCATCAAGAGGCGGGAAGAGTGTCCCAGAAACTCCTGGATATATTTCAATTTACGGATAAAATTAAGCAATATAAATTATGCTCATTATCAGAGTTAAATTGTATAGTCCTTTAAGAGTAGAATTTCATTTCATCAGAGTGAAAGGAGACAGAGGTGAGATAATTTATTCATCAGGGAAGGTAACTGCTGAGGCAAAAAGCAAGATTAATCAGGAAATCTAAGAGATAGGTAATGTTTTAAATAGATGGGTATCACTGCCCAGTCAGATAAGAAAGTCATGTAATTATTCATGATGGAACAGTGACAGAAATGAGGCACATGATAGAAAACAAAGAAATATTTTCTGTTAACGAGTCTGCATAATCTAAGTGATGTGTAAGAGTTAAGAGTGAAACTAATAAAAATCCTTTTATAGGTATAAGGAAATGGCAAAAAGTGTGGGATAGTGACAATGTCTTGTGTATTTTTAAAGAATAATTTACCATATTTTAAAATTTAGGTCCATATAGTTACTCTTAAAATGTCACTTCTATAGTCAAAAGGAAAAATAAAGAATATCATTTCTAGTACGCATAATTACATGCTTCTATAATTGGCAATATGTATAAGGGGACCCTAGGGTAGGTGGTAGGTTCAGGTTTTAGCTAATACTCCAAACAGACAATTATAATAGTCTCACACTACTGTGACTCTGTTTATTGGATCTGGGACCTCACAACTTATGGCACACAAAGGCTCTATACAATACTTTGTTATGAAATGAGTATTAGTTCTAACCTCAACACCAGGAGTTCCATTGAATTTTCCTCTTAAAGATTGTTATCATTGATTTGCATCCAAAGAGTAACATTTCACAGTCTTAAATATTTCCTAAGTAATGTGGTGTGTGTGTGTGTGTGTGTGTGTGTGTGTGTGTGTAAAATGTGATTTTAGAACCTGATTTCCATAATAGGAGAAAAAGGTCATAATTAAATTATGAGTTTGAAAAACAAAATATGTTCAAATTGTTTTGATCTACCATGTTTTTAGCCAGGGATACTTCTTTCATAGAATACATGAACTATGCATATATATTTAAAAATTTCAGTAAAAATTCACTTAACATTTTAAGCCAATGTTACAACTAGGTTATTAGATAACATTTATTAAATATTATTTGCTATATTTGAGCTTTAAACACAGCAGAAGTTTTGAAAATTTCCAGGTTTACTATAAAGAAACTACTACATTTTTTCAGGTTTTATTTTTTTACTTGTTTTAAATGTTTAGCTTCTGATTCTACACAAATTTAAAGAAATGACAGGTTTGCTAACATTGGTATTCTACTCTATTCATTGAAACATCTACATTAGTTGCTTTGTCATTAAGTTATTTAAATGGCACAAGTATTTTAAAGTGCGTGGACTTTTAAGGCTATATTTACAACCAATTATCACAAAACAATAAAGCTAACCACAGGGAAAAATTATTTTCTATAGTTGGGATAGATTTCAATCACAAATATGGTTGGATAAGCATATGACCCATTGAAAAGATTCACATTAAGGCCTATGCATATGTAGCTTCCTTGTAAAATCTATGATGGCTTTTGATGTGAATTTTCTTTTCTGTTTTTTGTACTTAGTAATATATGTCGACTAATGTGATTTAGGCCACTACATTTTTTTTCATCAATATAAATTTAATAGGCAGCATAAAAGTCTGATGTTAAAAACAATTGCATTTGTTTAACAAAGGAGAATTCATTTAACTTGGGATGTCTTGGCAATGCCTTCCAATGTGACAAAGGTCAGTCAGAAATGCTGATGCTCTGCACAGACCAGAGAACTTTTCACCTCTTCTTTTCTTCTCATTTCTTTTGGCAAAGGAGTAGTTAAAATAGCAGAGGTGTAAATGTATGATATGTCAAGATCATTGTATTGTCTTGAGCTACTAATAAAAAAAATAGCAGAAGTGTGGAGAAAAACAAGGTTGGGAAAGGTAAAGGAAGTGGAAAAGACTGCAGCAGTTTACAGGTATTTTATGGGAGCAATGGGTCTTATATTTGGGTGGTGGAATTGAAAAACAGAGTCTCAGAGAGGGCCTGGAGGCTCATGAGATGGTGTCACAGAGCAAGGAGTTTTCTGACAGGCACCACTGAATCTTGATCCCACAGCAGAGAAAGTACAATCGAAGATATCATGTTGTAACCAGATTGGTGTTTAATTACCTCGTATCATTTTCCTGTCTGTTCTAGTCTTAGGATACAATAGCACCTATCACTAAATCACGGTAGTGGTAACAGGAGGTTGCTTGTACCACGGGTTGGCCTCTTTCCTCTTCCTACTCCATGTACAGAAATCTCTAGGGCACTGTTGTGATTCACTGTAAAGTGAGAGTTCCCTGTTATTCTATGATTTATACTCATTCCACCAAACCTTACATAATGTAATTTATTTTTCTATGGATTATTGTGGGCATTTGTAACTACTGACATACTGTTTTCTACTTTTCACATGAAATAATTAAATTTCTCTGTGAAGTCATGTGCATAAATGTAGATAGTGTTTAAAAAAAGTGACAAACATCATCAGTTTGGTTTGAATATTTCATTTAAATCTCTCAAGTTTAAACCAGGCAATTCAAAAATCTTTCTCACGTTATCTGACAGACAGTTCATCAGATTTTATTATTATTGGAAAAAGATTAATTTTAAATAAGTTTTGGTAAGGCAATTATTTGGCTAATCAAGCAGGGAAGAAATTATCATTCAAAAGATGTTCTCTTTAAAAATTCTGCACTCCTGGTTAATATTTCTTTTACTCAAAAAATTTTTCAAATACATTATTTCTCATTTCCTGAAAATGCACTGAAATTTTTATTACAAATATCCTGTAAAAATCAAAATTTAAAACTATGGAAATGTTCATGCATGATGACAAAAATATATGCCAAAGGGTTTTCACTAATGCTTTGTAACAGGGAAGTGGAAACAATCTTGACGTCCATTCAATAGGAAACTAATTCAACTAAAGTATAGCCCCACAATGGATTATGTAGTAATTTATAAAAGAATGAGGTAAATATATGTATATATATATATATAAACTCTTATGGAAAGATATCTACCAATATATAATAAAATGAAAAAGTCACAGCAAAGAAATAATATTATTATTCTATTTATATAAAATACATGCATGAACATGTACACACACACACACACACACTCACACACACTCATACACCCCTCCCCACACGGTTATTTGTAAATTTGTAGAAAGTGTCTGGAAGGACACATACCAAAGCATTAACAGTGGTTACCCCTCGTAAATTAGGGTGTGGTAAGCAGAGGAATTTGTGTTTTATAATTCTATATGATTTGATTTTTTAAAGGAGAATATATTAAATTTATAATAAAAACATATAAAAATGTCCAGCCTTTGATAGAAAGATATTTATTTAATGTGCACACTTCTTTTTCTAAAGTAGTTTTTAGAATTTATTGTAAAGATTACTACTATTGTTTTACCTTCAAAGTTGGCACTGACATATAAAGAATCCTTTTTATTTTCTTCTTTCTGTGTAAGATGTTGAAATTTAGTTTTTAAAAAATCACACATAATTACTTTATGTTGCAGGGAAAAGCCTAATATGTATCCACCTTTAAAGAGAAAAATGCATTCATTTATTTTAAAAATCTATGCAATAGAAAAATGAAATCCTGTGCAATACAGTGCACACTGTCTCAGTAATGAAGAAACAGCCTTCACTGATAACAGACACTACTTTGTAACTGGCATATTGGAAAGTTTTCCAAATCATATGAAAATACCTCAAAAGATAAGTTATTTAAAGAAAGGAATAAAAATCCCTGAGTAAGCCAAAGACAACAGATATAATGATCTAAGAAAATAGATGATTTATGACCAGAGAATATATTTTTCAACTAATTGGTATATATGTGTATGGCATATGTATTCATATATGATATATATATATCATATATGTATAGATCCTCTATATTTAGAATTCATCATATTCACACATTGCCAAACTGATGCCTAAGTCCTGGAAAGATGAATTAAAAAAAACTTGAGCACTTTTATGTCAGAGCCATGTATTTGGGCTAGAGATTCTCCTTCTCCCTAACTAATACTAAAGCACCTAAAACAGACACTCAATAAATACCTGACAAATGGTTGGATGGGTGAATGGAAAGATGAATTTGTGAAACTAGAGCATCACTTTTTCTCGTCTCATGTCATGCTTTAAGATACACTACTCTAGAATCACAAATGTCACAATCGCCTTCAACAGAAAATAGATGAGTCCAAAAACCCAACAGCTATTCTGAATTATTCTGAAAAAAAATGCAAGCATGCTGCCCTTTCACCCATGAGCTAAACACAAATGGTAAAATGTCTTACACTCTGGAGCCCAATAAAGACCAACCATCTATATGAATGCATGTTTTTTATCATATAATCTATTTCAAGTCATATAAGTTTGCTGATACATAAATGCTACATCCATGGCAGATAGCTAATTTTGAGAATTTGGAGACAAGTAAAAAACCTTAGGCTTCTTAGAAGTCCTTTCTGCCTTTCTGCTGATAACAGACACTACTGTTCATGATGGTAACAAATGAATATACTAATTAATTGTCCTTCTCTTATTTTCAAAGATTTCTCCTCTGAGAAAAACTTTCTGAAAACACTTTCTTCATTTTTTGTTTTCCTTCTCCAAAAACAGCTGTTTTTTTAGATGAACATATGAACATAACCCCTCTATAAGAAGATACCAACAAAGCATTATGCACTTGAGCAGTAAACGAGAAATCCTTTCAAACTGGTATGTTTCCATGAAAAACTTGAGGTCAAATAAAAACAAATAGGAAGAGAAGATAAGGAAGACAGTGGAGATTAAAAAATTTAAAACCTTGATCTAAAATAAATGATCTATCATCACAAGTTGGTAATTAAAAAAACAGTGGAATACGGAATTTGTTTAAAGACTTAAGCAATTCTCTTACTAATAAACTTGTTCTTTGGGTTAAATAATCTCACATGAAGGATTTATCCACAGAGTAAAGCACATGTGCTATAATGGAAGAAATTGAAAAGACTGAATATTTGGGTCTTGAGGGCTTACTAAAAGCAACCTATTAGTTTTGTCAGTTTACAAAGTCCAATACACCTCAGGATGACCATTGCACAAATTTTTCTGTGTGTGACAGAAAGAGAGAGCAAGAAATAGAAAGGGTCAACATCAAAATAGCCTGTTGTCTACATTGACTTTAATTCAATATGTTAGCAAATTATGCCCACAAAAGAACTATCATCTCTAAACAGGTCTAAGAAAATGTGAAGGAAAAAAAAAATAGTGTAGAGGCATGGAAATAGATACGCACAAGGTTACTGGGCCTAGTTTTAACATATATTTATATACACACATTCACACTCCTACACATATACACTTCATTAACTCATAATTCTTCTCATTAATTTAGTTTCATTATTTCCCTTTTGGGCACTGAAAGTTTTAACAATTACAGTATCTGAAAGATAAAGGAATTACACTGTTTGAGACACAGATGAAAACAGATGCCATCCGTGAACTTGTATCTTCTGAAAAGTGACCTTGCTTATTGGGACAGACAGGACCTTAGCTATTCACACCAAGTCCCACAGATAGGCTGGAGGGAGGTTGAGGGTTCAAAGACAATCCAAGCAATGCTCAGAAGAGGCACCCTCAGAACAATTCTGAGGAAAACCAGTCCTCAGTTAAAATATTTTCTTCCAAGAAACACAAAGGTCAGAGATATGATACAGATGTTTATAGTTTATGAAAGTGACCATTTTTTTTTTAAAGCAGCAATTTGTTTAGGGTAAGGACAGGATACCATATGGGAGTGCACCGGTAGCCAGAGGCATTGTGGCTTGCAGAGAGCCATGGGGAGACGAGACGCAGAAGGTTCCTCGCAGTGTTTTCAGGGTAGAACTCACAGATGGTGTGCCATCTTGCACAGCTCCTCCTGGGACCAGCTTAGTGGGGTGAGATCACCTGCATTTTACCAATGCATACCTGTCCTTGATCGCTTTCTCTGTTTCTTACAAAGGCAATAGATAGGAAATACAAATAAACCTAGGGATTAAAAAAACATAAAGGCAATTAGGGGGAGACACATTTTGGTTTCTTTGAAACTTTTCCCTTTCATTTCATTGCATACTCTTTAGAAATAATCTTTTTTTTTTTTTTTTTTTTTTAGCAATACATGGACATGAAAAGAGAGAAGATACCTATGCTATGAAATATGTTTATTATTATTTAATTCTTTATTATTTTTCTTTAGCTCTTTCTGCCTTTTAACATTCTCAGTGATATAGTTTCACTAGGGAACAAAGCTTTCTATCAAAATATCAAACCTTAGATTTAAATCTTAATTATCCATAGTCGAATCCTTTGTACACTATGACAGTCACATTTCAGTTTCAAGTAATACCACATCTTATTTAAGAACACCTTGTGGAGCCAAATATCAGATGTGACTCCCAGTTTTAAGACTAATAAGGTCTTAGTAAGCCTTAATTTTCTCAAATATAAAATGTAGATAGTAAATAATTACCTCATCCAGTCCTGACTTACTGCAGTAACTGAAATGTCAGACACTGTCTATCTGTCCTGCACATGTATTACTTTCCAAATAAAAATTTATGTATGAAAAATCATTTTATTTAGCAAAATTAAATAATTACAATTAATAAACAATTAATAAAGCAGCCTTTATCACAGTGTTTAACTTAATCTTTTATAAAGCAATGGTTCTCAAAGTGTGGTCCTTGGACCAATAGTATTAACATCACTTGGGAACATTTTAAAATAAAAAATCTATGGGCTGTGCCTCCATACTCAGTCAGAAGTTGCAGGTACAAACAATCAACTATGTTTTAGCTAGTCCTTGTGGTTATTTTAAGACTTGGTAAAGTCTGAAAACTATTGGTTTAAGGTGCATACTTTAATATACTTGTATGAATGAAACTATACAAATCATTAATAGGTTTTCTATTTGTCCATGTTCAAGTAGATGTTGATATGTTCCTGTATACATGGAAGGCATTTTTTACTAGGTGAAACCAAACACCTACCAAACACCAAAGCCTCTTTTCTTTAATGCTCCAACCTGAAATCAGAATTGGAGAACTTTAAGTCTAGTTCACTTGACTCTTGCACTAAAACACAAATGCGTCCTTGGTATAAAGAGGAAGCAATAATGAATCCAAGTGTTCAAAGACTGAAAAACTGTCACACAAATATATCCTACGGGAAACATGATACTCTGAATTTAGAAGTCACGTGCTGAGTAGCTGTCTAAAATAGGCATGGGACAGAAATTATGGCCACTAACAGCTGACTCACTTTACATTTACACTCATTTTGTCTCCATTGTCATGTGAAAAATCTAATCTCAGACATGATAAGTGTTTCTTACCGATTACAACTGCTATGGCCCCTAGTGCTAATCCCAAAACCAGGATTAGAGGTGCAACGAATAATTTTCCAGCTGGAAAACAAAAAACAAAATAATTTAGTATCTAAAAGCTAACTTGCCAAACACTTCCAGCAACGCTTCTAAATATCTCAGTGCAGGTTATTTTTAAAGAAGTCTGATGACAATTAAGACCTTATTTTCCTAAGAAATATACAAGGTGTAGAACAGCTAATGAACAAATAAGTTCATCATGGATGTCTTGGGCAATCTGTGTCAAACATCTCAGAAATCATTTATCTTTCATAATAACAACAAAAACAAATCTAAACCAACTGGCTCACTTTATACTTCCAAGGCCATCCATCTTTGTGTTTTCCTTTGGATATTTTCCATTTTCAAGATGCTGAAAGATTAAGAAAGGAGTGACACGTTCTGATTTGGTAGGAGAAAATCCAGTTATTTCACAAATGAAGAGCTGGTAGGGACTACAGAGAAATTCCACCTAAGACCACATCTGAAAAAAAAGTGGTTTATTTACTTCCTGAGTCCAAAGAAAATTAATAATATGACCTAATAGAATGAATGACAAATGGAATGTTGTTAAAACTCCTCTTAAGGAAAATTACCCATAAAAATCATGTTGGGAATAATTCAAGTAAATAATTTTTAAAAATTTAAAAAGGAAGGCACCTATAAAACAAAAAAGGCTACATGCTGGTAGGGTACTGTGTCTGGCAGCATCAGCCAGTATTTTCTCTCCTAGATGAATAATTTATCAGTGATAATGATCAGTATTGTCATATGTGAACACAGAACAGAATCCACAATGGGAATCCCACTGACTTTGAAAGAAACTAGCGCACACAAAATAGGCCAGAAAACAGTGTCTGCTCATTCCTTAGCACATGGGTTAGAGCACATGGCACAGTTGTACAGCTGCAAAACTCAAATGTGGTAAGAGAAGTGAAACGAGGAGAAAAATCTGCAGGAGGATCATACAGCTATTTAAGAATGAAATAGCAATAGCATCCTATAAACAATTTCTTTGTTTTAATCACCAATTACACACAAAAGAGAAAAACTATGCAGCTACTGGTTAGAAATCTGACAGAAAAAAATTAACTTATTTTTTAGAAATGGTCTGAGGAACCAGATGACCAGATGTATATGGAACATAGCTTTTAATATCTCATTTTAAAAGATAGATTTAATAGCTGTAATGATCAACTTGAATTGTCAACTTGATTGGATCAAGAGAGGACGGATATTAAGAAATTTATGGGTGTGGCATGAGGGTGTATCTAGGAATGATTGGCATGTGGGAAAGCCAAATGAAATGTAGACTCTCCCTAATCATGGGCAGCATTGACCAATAGGATGATGGCTTGGGTGGAAAACAGCAGATGCCAGCTCCATTCTTCTGGAATGGGTTCTTGATAGCAATTGTCTGAGGATATTGGACTCCTGCTATTTTACTCTTCCAAAGCAGACTCTGATAGTGATTCTCTCCCGAAGCGTGGTTGATCCTTCTTGTACTGGGGCTTCAGCCTCTTGGACTGTGCAGCTACTGATTCTTCCAGCTCTAAAGCCTGCAGAGTGCCATTGTGGAGTATCACCAGCTTTTATAATTATACTTCCTGTTCATTCTGTTCCTCTAGAGAACTCTAATATCTAATTAATATCAACACAATGTCTAACATGTGTTTTCTTTTTTATTTATTCTAATTAGCTATAGATTACAGTAGACTGCATTTTGACACATCATACATAAATGGAGTATAATCTCTCATTCTTCTGGCTGTACATAATGTAGAACTACACTCGTCATATAATCATATATGCACATGGGATAATAATGTCCAATTCATTCCACTGTCCTTCCTACCTTCCTGACCCCTCCTCTCCCTTCACTCCCCTCTGTCTGATACCAAGTACCTCTATTCTTCTCTAGGCGCCTGTTTATTGTGAATTAGTATCTGCATATCATGGAAAATATTTGACCTTTGTTTCTTTGGGATTGTCTTATTTTGTTTAGCATGATATTCTCCAGCTCGATCCATTTACCAGAAAATACCATACTTTCATTCTTCTTTAAGGATGAATAATATTCCATTGTGTGTGTGTGTATATATGTATACACATCACATTTTTTAAACCCATTCTTCTGTTGAAGGGCACCTAGTTTGATTTAGCTATTATGAATTGAGCTGTTATAAACATTGATGTGGCTACATCACTATAATATGTTGATTTTAAGTCCTTTGGATATAAACTTAGGAGTGGGATATTTGGGTCAAATGATGGCTCCCTTCTAAGTTTTCTGAGGAATCTCCATACTACCTTCCATAGTGGCTGCACTAATTTGAAGCCCCACTATCAATGTATGATTGGACCTTTCCCCCCACATCATCACCAAAATTTTTTGTTGCTTGTATTCTTGATAATTGCCATTCTGCCTGGAGTGAGGTAAAATCTCAGTGTAGTTGTGATTTGCATTTCTCTAATTACTACAGATGTTGGATGATTTTTCATATATTTTTTGATCAAATGTATGTCTTCTGTGAAGTGTCTGTTCAATTCCTTAGCCCATTTATTGACTGGGTTGTCGAATTCCACCATCAAACACTCACAGTCATTCCAGGTGAACCGGGATACACTAAACAACCACACAGAGGCAGAGACAGAGAAATATCTTTTTCTTTAGGTCCTGTGATGGCTCCACTAACCTTAAGGGTCCGTGGAAAGATAGACAGACAGAGAAAGAGAGAGAGAGAGAGAGAGAG